TATTTTTGGTGTTATAATAACACAATAACACATGAATAATACATGAATAACACACAATAATACAAGAATAACACGGGAGAGAATATTCTCCAGTATTACTGCGCCGTTTTTTTCTGTCGGGAATATTTCTAGTGTTATTCAAGTGTGATTGTGTGTTATTCATGTGTTATTGTGTCCTGAGAATATTTTTGGTGTTATAATAACACAATAACACATGAATAATACATGAATAACACACAATAATACAAGAATAACACGGGAGAGAATATTCTCCAGTATTACTGCGCCGTTTTTTTCTGTCGGGAATATTTCTAGTGTTATTCAAGTGTGATTGTGTGTTATTCATGTGTTATTGTGTCCTGAGAATATTTTTGGTGTTATAATAACACAATAACACATGAATAATACATGAATAACACACAATAATACAAGAATAACACGGGAGAGAATATTCTCCAGTATTACTGCGCCGTTTTTTTCTGTCGGGAATATTTCTAGTGTTATTCAAGTGTGATTGTGTGTTATTCATGTGTTATTGTGTCCTGAGAATATTTTTGGTGTTATAATAACACAATAACACATGAATAATACATGAATAACACACAATAATACAAGAATAACACGGGAGAGAATATTCTCCAGTATTACTGCGCCGTTTTTTTCTGTCGGGAATATTTCTAGTGTTATTCAAGTGTGATTGTGTGTTATTCATGTGTTATTGTGTCCTGAGAATATTTTTGGTGTTATAATAACACAATAACACATGAATAATACATGAATAACACACAATAATACAAGAATAACACGGGAGAGAATATTCTCCAGTATTACTGCGCCGTTTTTTTCTGTCGGGAATATTTCTAGTGTTATTCAAGTGTGATTGTGTGTTATTCATGTGTTATTGTGTCCTGAGAATATTTTTGGTGTTATAATAACACAATAACACATGAATAATACATGAATAACACACAATAATACAAGAATAACACGGGAGAGAATATTCTCCAGTATTACTGCGCCGTTTTTTTCTGTCGGGAATATTTCTAGTGTTATTCAAGTGTGATTGTGTGTTATTCATGTGTTATTGTGTCCTGAGAATATTTTTGGTGTTATAATAACACAATAACACATGAATAATACATGAATAACACACAATAATACAAGAATAACACGGGAGAGAATATTCTCCAGTATTACTGCGCCGTTTTTTTCTGTCGGGAATATTTCTAGTGTTATTCAAGTGTGATTGTGTGTTATTCATGTGTTATTGTGTCCTGAGAATATTTTTGGTGTTATAATAACACAATAACACATGAATAATACATGAATAACACACAATAATACAAGAATAACACGGGAGAGAATATTCTCCAGTATTACTGCGCCGTTTTTTTCTGTCGGGAATATTTCTAGTGTTATTCAAGTGTGATTGTGTGTTATTCATGTGTTATTGTGTCCTGAGAATATTTTTGGTGTTATAATAACACAATAACACATGAATAATACATGAATAACACACAATAATACAAGAATAACACGGGAGAGAATATTCTCCAGTATTACTGCGCCGTTTTTTTCTGTCGGGAATATTTCTAGTGTTATTCAAGTGTGATTGTGTGTTATTCATGTGTTATTGTGTCCTGAGAATATTTTTGGTGTTATAATAACACAATAACACATGAATAATACATGAATAACACACAATAATACAAGAATAACACGGGAGAGAATATTCTCCAGTATTACTGCGCCGTTTTTTTCTGTCGGGAATATTTCTAGTGTTATTCAAGTGTGATTGTGTGTTATTCATGTGTTATTGTGTCCTGAGAATATTTTTGGTGTTATAATAACACAATAACACATGAATAATACATGAATAACACACAATAATACAAGAATAACACGGGAGAGAATATTCTCCAGTATTACTGCGCCGTTTTTTTCTGTCGGGAATATTTCTAGTGTTATTCAAGTGTGATTGTGTGTTATTCATGTGTTATTGTGTCCTGAGAATATTTTTGGTGTTATAATAACACAATAACACATGAATAATACATGAATAACACACAATAATACAAGAATAACACGGGAGAGAATATTCTCCAGTATTACTGCGCCGTTTTTTTCTGTCGGGAATATTTCTAGTGTTATTCAAGTGTGATTGTGTGTTATTCATGTGTTATTGTGTCCTGAGAATATTTTTGGTGTTATAATAACACAATAACACATGAATAATACATGAATAACACACAATAATACAAGAATAACACGGGAGAGAATATTCTCCAGTATTACTGCGCCGTTTTTTTCTGTCGGGAATATTTCTAGTGTTATTCAAGTGTGATTGTGTGTTATTCATGTGTTATTGTGTCCTGAGAATATTTTTGGTGTTATAATAACACAATAACACATGAATAATACATGAATAACACACAATAATACAAGAATAACACGGGAGAGAATATTCTCCAGTATTACTGCGCCGTTTTTTTCTGTCGGGAATATTTCTAGTGTTATTCAAGTGTGATTGTGTGTTATTCATGTGTTATTGTGTCCTGAGAATATTTTTGGTGTTATAATAACACAATAACACATGAATAATACATGAATAACACACAATAATACAAGAATAACACGGGAGAGAATATTCTCCAGTATTACTGCGCCGTTTTTTTCTGTCGGGAATATTTCTAGTGTTATTCAAGTGTGATTGTGTGTTATTCATGTGTTATTGTGTCCTGAGAATATTTTTGGTGTTATAATAACACAATAACACATGAATAATACATGAATAACACACAATAATACAAGAATAACACGGGAGAGAATATTCTCCAGTATTACTGCGCCGTTTTTTTCTGTCGGGAATATTTCTAGTGTTATTCAAGTGTGATTGTGTGTTATTCATGTGTTATTGTGTCCTGAGAATATTTTTGGTGTTATAATAACACAATAACACATGAATAATACATGAATAACACACAATAATACAAGAATAACACGGGAGAGAATATTCTCCAGTATTACTGCGCCGTTTTTTTCTGTCGGGAATATTTCTAGTGTTATTCAAGTGTGATTGTGTGTTATTCATGTGTTATTGTGTCCTGAGAATATTTTTGGTGTTATAATAACACAATAACACATGAATAATACATGAATAACACACAATAATACAAGAATAACACGGGAGAGAATATTCTCCAGTATTACTGCGCCGTTTTTTTCTGTCGGGAATATTTCTAGTGTTATTCAAGTGTGATTGTGTGTTATTCATGTGTTATTGTGTCCTGAGAATATTTTTGGTGTTATAATAACACAATAACACATGAATAATACATGAATAACACACAATAATACAAGAATAACACGGGAGAGAATATTCTCCAGTATTACTGCGCCGTTTTTTTCTGTCGGGAATATTTCTAGTGTTATTCAAGTGTGATTGTGTGTTATTCATGTGTTATTGTGTCCTGAGAATATTTTTGGTGTTATAATAACACAATAACACATGAATAATACATGAATAACACACAATAATACAAGAATAACACGGGAGAGAATATTCTCCAGTATTACTGCGCCGTTTTTTTCTGTCGGGAATATTTCTAGTGTTATTCAAGTGTGATTGTGTGTTATTCATGTGTTATTGTGTCCTGAGAATATTTTTGGTGTTATAATAACACAATAACACATGAATAATACATGAATAACACACAATAATACAAGAATAACACGGGAGAGAATATTCTCCAGTATTACTGCGCCGTTTTTTTCTGTCGGGAATATTTCTAGTGTTATTCAAGTGTGATTGTGTGTTATTCATGTGTTATTGTGTCCTGAGAATATTTTTGGTGTTATAATAACACAATAACACATGAATAATACATGAATAACACACAATAATACAAGAATAACACGGGAGAGAATATTCTCCAGTATTACTGCGCCGTTTTTTTCTGTCGGGAATATTTCTAGTGTTATTCAAGTGTGATTGTGTGTTATTCATGTGTTATTGTGTCCTGAGAATATTTTTGGTGTTATAATAACACAATAACACATGAATAATACATGAATAACACACAATAATACAAGAATAACACGGGAGAGAATATTCTCCAGTATTACTGCGCCGTTTTTTTCTGTCGGGAATATTTCTAGTGTTATTCAAGTGTGATTGTGTGTTATTCATGTGTTATTGTGTTATTATAACACCAGGAATATTCCTATGATACAATAATACATGAATAACACACAATAACACATGAATAACACGGGAGGAATATTCCCCGTGTTACTGCGCCGTTTTTTTTTTTTTTGCGTCGCGCGGGGTATTGCGACGTGATTTCATTGGGTACGCACGTTACTCTACGTGCGTAGTACTGATGTAATATTTTTTCCCACAGTGAGAGCATAATGCCACTGGTTAACAATCATGACTGCCTTTATTATGTTTCAGTGTTCCATGTCAACACCAAATACTGGAAACAAGAATTTCATCGAAGTTTTCCGCTATCATCAAAATAACCAAAAATTTTTTAGACCTTTTATATCACAGATTATCAATCAAACATTATTTAAATATTTAAATATCACGTTATATAACAAAAAAAGGAGGTGCAATTACATAGATACCACCCAATTCCAACATGTCTATATTTCCAACACCTTAACCTTATTTTCCACATTTACATCACTCAAATCCTTCATCACATTGTAAATAATAATAATAAATATCTCTATTTTAAGCTTTAAAAAATGAAATGCAACTTTACATTCACAAGGTGGCATATATGTAAACACTGAAGTTTAGATGTTAGACATGTAAATACATAGGATAAAATGATATTTACGTAAATCTTCCCTAAAAACAAAATTTATGGCAAACGAACTAAAAGCTCATGACATAGGATTTTTTTTTTTTGGCTGGAAGGATCAGCCGTACCTTGTTAGAATCCCCTCGGGGAGTAATGAAAAAGGATTCATCATGTCCAACAACTGAATTAAAAATAGATTAAAAAAACATAATCACTAACACCAAATTATCACATAATGTTATCATGTCCCAACGAAGAAGCACATTTATTTAAGCAAATAATGTCCTCCTCCGTATCATATCAACATACCCCTCCCCTCCCCTTATTTTTTCTGCTAAGCACAAATAAAAATATAATAAAAATCACAACTCAATCCTCTAGAAATACAGAATCTGCACTAATCATCGTCCTCCTCAAGCAGGGCAAAAGAAAAAGGTGAGAATTTGTATCCATCTCCCTCATAAAATTTATTCATGAATTCCACCCAGTGAAGCCTGAGAGCATGCAAGAATGCGCTGAGTGTTTCCATGACAAGCAGAACACCAACAGTGGCGAAAATGAAGACGATGATGCCGACGACGAGGATTATGATATTGTTGAACCTGAGTTCATAAATTTGTTAACTTTAAGGTATAATGGAACGTTCGGTCTTGAGAAAATAATCAAAAGTTTGAGAGGAAGAGAAGATTATATTACCCCCAGGCAAGGAGAAGAACCTTGTCGTAGAACACACTGGACAGTTCTGAATGAGCAAGACTGCAAGAAAAGAAATATTAGAAGAAGAATTGAGTAGTTGTTCATTTATTTGAGCACATCACTGAACAAAGTACACGGAAATACACAGGTGAGTTAGTGACTAAATAATTTATAGGGGCATTTAGATACTTATCACCGAATTCCTATCTATTTATATATCTAACACCAAAACTTTGCTTTTCATATTTATACCACCAAAAGCTTTCATATCATATAAAAAAATGTCACTATTTTAACGTTTAAGATGTGAAATGCACCTTTTCATGTGTGGATAGATGCATATATGTAAAGATTGAAGTTTAGATGTTACATATGAAAATACATAGGAATTGAGTGTTATGTAGATAAAATATTCCTAATTTATACTGAAGACAGTTTTAAGATAGAAAAATTTCAGCGTGCAGACGTCACAAATGTAGACTTGAGTGTGATACTTTATGAACTTTCTAGGTTAAAAAACAGAACGCTAGTGTAATTGAGCCAAACGACTCGTGAGCTGGCTCGGGCACAGCTCGATAAATGGCTCACAAGCTTAGCTCAATGAGCTAGATAGCCAAGGTTGAGCCAACTACAACTTGTGAGCCAACTCATTTTAAAAATAATTAAAATAAGCACTTAAAATATATTAAAATTTAAAATTTAAAGTATAAATTATTTTTTAAAAATTGAAAATCATATCGTAGATTTTATATCAAGTGATGTATTATCATTCTCTTTCCCATAACTACTCATTCTTTGTCATTTTATGTCAAATTATGCAAATCAAAATCATTTCCAATCATTAATAATAAACAATTTGGCTTGTGAGCCAACTCGAATGGTAGAATTAAGCTCGAGCTCAAGCTTAGCTCGACTCATTTGCACTTCTAAACAACCCCAAGGCAAACATTTCAACAAAGTTTGCTAACAAACATATTGCTCATTATTTTTGACATTAGTGACCTGACACTGAATAATCATACGAGAGGCATACCTCAATGCCCAAAGCCGAAGATACGATGCAGTATTTGAGACTGCTCCAAGAACAAATTCTATAGTGTGAATGAGTTGGTGCACAAAAACTTCGCTGAATTCGAACTCTTCATGGTGATGTGGATCATTATCTTGCTCCTCAAGAGAGCCATTGTCAGTGGTCTGAAGCATGGCGTATGCCTGGCCTTGGTGTCTCTGAAACCAAAGTGTATATAAAGTAATCAATAAAGTCGTACATAATCAATAAAAACCAAAAAGTAAAAAAATCTAATAAAATATGCATACTTGTTCATGTTGTCTCTTCAAGAGAAATGGCTTGGGAAGTAACATCCAAGGAACTGAAATGAAGGCCAGTAGGAGGAGGACAAGCTGGAAATATTGCTTCATAAATTGAGTATCTTCATGCAGCAAATAATAAAAGAAGAGGGGGCGAGGGGGGACCCAATTCCTATGTATTTATATATTGAACATCTAAACTATATTTTTGAACATTTAAACCTCTGAAATCTTTCATATCACATAAAAAATACCACGTTTTTTTACTTTTAAAAAGTGAAATCCACCTTTTCATGCATAGTAAAGTCGCATGTTGGTAAAAATTGAAGTTAATGGCACGTTTTACTTTTAAAAAGTGAAATCCACCTTTTCATGCATAGTAAAGTCGCATGTTGGTAAAAATTGAAGTTAATGTGTTAGACATGTAAATACATAAGAATTGAGTGGTAAGTATGTAAATCATACAAAAAAACAAACCTGAAATGTCTTTTGACCAGGGAAAAGTTGGTTTTCACCAAGCTCATCAGTTGGACTAAGAAACATATATATCATAACATGATATAGATCAGCCGTAGCACCAGTGCACCATTTCACAATGATAAGGAGTGACAGGTACCCAAACAGGCTGTTGAGGAAGATGAGTTGGGGAATAAATTGGAACCTACAGTACATGTAAAAAGATGAGCAAAATCAAAAGTTGCAGCAGTTAAAAAAAAAAGATAATCCGTGTTTTAACACTCAAATTTACGAAGAATTTAAAGGTAGAAAATAAAATTAAATAAAAATATTTAGTTTGCATATCCCTTTAAATAAGATATAAAACTTCACTAATCCATCGAAACCAAGATATCATTTAAGCTAGAACCTGCATTATAGCAAATTAAAAATCAATTCAAATTACTCAATGGAACTGAGATATTCAGTAGGTTTCCACTCAAGCCCCAAGTTAAAATATACAAGTTAGGACAAAAGGAACAAAAGACCAGATGGAAAATGTCGTTTTCTCCTCCATTCCATATAATCATGGGTAGTGAGCATTATCAAGTAAAGTGTCAAAATAGTCCTCTTAACTATTTAGTCCCAGAGTCTATAAAAGTGTAAAATTAGTCCTTAAAACTGTTTTAATATGAGTTGACATGGTCCTCAAAGATGACTATTTTAGCCCACTTTAAGAGAGCCTAGGGACTAAATAAACACTTTAATGAACACTGAGACGACAATGACCACTGACAGAGAGTCGGGGAATGATTTTGACACTTTTCTCGAACATTATCCACGATTATGAAGTAAAATATCTCTAGTAAGAATAATAGAAAATTAATCATGGTAACCTCAATTCATCCAGGTTCAAGCAAATAGCCTTAATGCAAGACTCAAACATCAATAAAAGAAATACATAATTTATTTACACAGCATAGGATTTAAATTGAGTAAATTTAAAGTTTACATTTTAAAGGGAACTAGTACTTTAATTAGTTGTTAAGTTTTTGTAGGACAAAGAAACCATAATACTACCAATTTTCAGAACCTCTTTAGAGCATATAGTGCAAGCACCTTAGAGATGAGATATCTAAATGATTCAAGAAATTCCATAAGATGTCCATCAATTTTGAAGCAATCCAGCAAAATCATGATTTGATAACCGAGCAAGAAGTATTATTGGCTTCAGATAGCAGAATCACAACATTTTATATTACATTCATATAATTATCCCAAAGTTAGTAGCACTAAAATAATTTAAAAAAAAAACAAAATTAATTTACCAAATATTTAGAACGTTCCATTAAAATAACTCATCACGATTCCAAGGTTCATTTGAGATACTCCAAGAAGGATTGACATCTTCATCTTCAATGAGTTGAGAAATGGCAACTCGCTTCGACTACCATGCCAGGTGGGATCCAGACCAAATGGATAGGTACGTCTTACCTTGATTAATCCATCGGTAGTAGCATCACTGAAAAGAGAAGAACAAAATTGCATTAATGGACAGCAATAAGTGCAGAAAACTTTCATCGAATCAATCAATAATAAGTTACCTGCAAGAGGAATCACGGCATGCATAGGCAGAAGGTCCAAAAATTTCAAACGGGACTGAAAAAAACTCGTTATATATCAACCCCGTATAAATTGAGAATATAGCCATCATTAAAATTAAATAACGGCCACCAAAAACCATCTCCATAATATCTCCAAGCTTCTGCTTATCAAAATAATAAGAGAGAAAATTTAAGCCACCAGAATTTTCATAAACATAAATTTTAGTTATAAGACCAAAAAGAAGCATAAACATAAGACAAACAAAAGCTAAAATCGATAGTAAAATTAATGTGGCATAAAGGCCCTAATATAGTTTGCCTGATTTCTTTTCATATTCTGAATTTTGTAGAATAAACGGAGCATATACTGCCTTAGCTGCGTGAGCAAATAAAATGTTAATCTTACAATGAGAAACAAGCCATAAACAAATTATGGCTTACAGGAAATCTAAGAAGACACCAGTTTAGTAAACACATGCATCATCGTCATCCTCCTTAACCCACTGATAAAAACTACAATTACATCCTTAACATGCAGCATCAACAATTATTATATTAATATAACTAGAGAATCCAGCTATGAAACATATTATCATTTAAATCAATCTAAGCCACCATGCATTTAGTAAACTAGTATCATCATCCTTAGCCTTTAGCTCAACTATTTGGGTCAGCTTAACAAATGTTCTCCGCCATATCTTCTTAAAATATGTAGTTTTCTACAATATTTTCCATTCTAACCCTTTTAACATAACACTATATCCATCTTCCTTGTCAAATTTTAATGCAGTCTCCTCAACTTCATTCTTTAAAAGTCAACTCATGCCTCGCCCTTGTCACACCTCTTTGCACAACACTGTAATAATCAACTCTACCCAGATCATTTGATATCCCCCGATGGTTTTCGCTAAGCATCTGCTCACTTGATGAGTTTTCCCAACTTTCACTTGATTTAAAGGCATTAAGACTTTAAGAGCTCCCATCCAACTCCATTATTTTTTCAACAAGAGTAAGTTCTACCTTTACACAAGCCATCGACGTTTCAATGCAAAATATTGCTAATCTTCACTGAAGATGAAGATTTTAAAGCTTGTTGGTCTACTCTCATTTTCTATTAAAGAAAACGTCCTTAAGGCCCTCCAATTTGAAGATTATCTACAAATTTATGTCAGATTATACGTAGAAGGTCCTTTGTTAGGCGTTATGCGAAAATAATGTGGAAACGAAGAAATTCACACAGCAACAATCAATCACAAAAGATCTACGTGGTTTGGCATTGAATTAATCCGCCTATGTCTACAGGGAGGGATATTTTACTAGCAATAGATAGGAAGAAAGAAAAAAAGTTAGGGGTTACAACTTCAACACTTCTCACCATAACTCTCTCATAAACCCTAAATTTATTTCATAGAGAATTAGGCCATACAAGTAAATAAATTCAAGACCAAACTATCCATAATAACAAAAAGTCATAAATACAACAATCTCCACCTCATCTCTTACTTCCAGATAAGTGAAAGATGACCAAATGAGCTCCAAACTCTAATTCCGCTGCACCAAGATAGTTACTTACGTACCATCCCTCCCGAAGGAATCAAGCTTTGCATAATTCTTTAAAATGCCAAATTGGGCAATCAGCCCTGAACTCGAATGATCACCGAACTCCAAAAGTAAATGACCTTCTGGACTAATAGTACCATCGTGAGCATGTCAGCTGGATTCTCCTTCGTATTTATCTTCTTCAACAGAACATTGTTATCATTAATTAAGTCCCGAACAAAGTGGAACATCACAACAATGTTTAGTACAAGCACGATGAACTATATTTATGGTCAAGAATATTGCAATCTAACAGTCATAGAACCCCGCCGCAGACTCTTGATTAACTCCCAAGTCATTCAGTAGGCCCTGCATCCATATCGTTTCTTTCATCGCCTCCGTGAATGTCATGTACTCGACCTCCGTAGTAGACCAAGCAACAATAGGCTGAAGAACCGACCTCCAATTGTCTAGACCACCTACCAATGTGAATAAATAGATAGTCGTAAATCTCCGTCAATCATCCGCATAGTCCGGACCAGTATAGCCTACAAACAAATCTGCAACAGATGACTGTCTCTCAGACACCAAGTCAACATCAACTTGTACCTTCAGATATCTCATAATACACTTCACAATATGTCAATGTTTTCTTCCTGGATCACGCATGAATCTGCTCACAACACCAACTGTTTGTGCAATGACAGATCTAGTACAAAATGACATATATCAGGTTGTCCGCTACACTAGCATAAGAAACCAAGCATATATTTTTTCTTTCTTGACCACCTTTAGGACACTGACCTGAACTCAACTAAAAGTGAGATGCAATTGTTAGACTCATCGCCTTCTAAAGTCATTAACCCCCAATTTCTTCTGCACCTTCCAGGCATAAGTCCCTTGCAAAAACCAAACCTTTTTAAATGTCTTGTCTCTGAGAATCTCCATGCCAAGAATTATATGAGCTTATTCAACTCCATTTTGAAATATTTGGATAGTAGATTTTTTCCTTCTATTAACCTCAATCTGATTAATGGATGAAATCAACATATGATCAATATATAGAATCAAATAAATGAACTCACCGTTGGCCAACTTCGTAAAATATGCACAATTATCCTACTGGCTCCTCGTGTACTCATGTCACATCATGAACTGATCAAATATTTTATACTATTGTCATGGTGACTAACGTCAACCCATACAAAGACTTGTCCACTTTGCAAACTAAGTCATTTGATATTCCATATCCAGGTGGCTGCAACGTGCAGATCTCTTACAATTCTCCGTGTAAGAATGCAGTCTTCACATTGAGTTATTCCAAAATCAGACCATACCATGCTACAAATGCTAAGAGTACATGTATTGAGGGATGTTTAATCACTAGATAGAACACCTTGTCATAATTAATCTCTTTTAATTGCACAAAACCTTTCTAGCATAAGCTAACGGGATGTGTAACTACCAGATGAATTGACATTTCCACCGCCATAGTGAATATTGAAGAATTTGACACCGTGTTATCATTCATTATTATCATTGTTGCAATCACTTTCCCAAAAAAAATTTATTGAGCTAAATAATTGGAAAAAAAACAAACAAAAAAATCACCTAAGAAAATCAGAAAATAAAAATTTCTTTTTTGCTGAAATTCTCTCTACTTCATTCTCCATTTTTTTTTATTTTTTTCTGAAATTCCCTTTTAAAAGAATTTTCTTTTTCTTTTTTTCCTATTTCTCATAATCAATTTGCATTTATGTCGGGTATGTCTACTATGGAAGCTATACATTTATCGAGAGGTTTAACGGAGAAGTTCAGAGATAATAAGTAGGATCTAAATATGATTTTTATTGATTTAGAAAAATCTTACGATAAGGTTCCAAGACATATCCTTTAGAGAGTTCTTGAGAAGAAAGGTGTTGATATGACTTATATTCAAGTCATTGAAGATATGTATACAATAACTGTTACTTGTGTTCGAACAGGAGGATTGACCAAATATTTTCTTATTTCTGTTGGTTTACATCAAGGATCGGCTTTAAGCTCATATCTTTTTGCTTTAGTTATGGATGGTCTTACTGGACACTTACAAGAGGATGTACCTTGGTGTATGCTTTTTGCTGATGATATCCTTCTCGTGGATAAAAAGAGAAAAAAAAAGCTCAAGAAAAACTTGAATTATGGGGGTCTACCTTAAAGTCTAAAGACCTTCATTTGAGTAGAACTAAAACAGAATACATGGAATGTAATTTTAGTAGTAGTAGCTCTAGTGGCAGAAATGTAACTATGGGTGATCAAATCATTAGAAGGTGTGAACGCTTTAGATATCTCGGGTCAAATATTCAAAGTGATGGTGATATTGATGTAGATGTTATTAGTAGAATTTAAGTTGGTTTAAGTGGAGGAATGCTTCAGGCCTATTGTGTGATAGAAAAATACCGCTTAGAATGAAAGGAAAATTTTATAAGATGGTGGTGAGACCTGAATATTGGCTTTTAAAAGAAACGCACAAAACTAAATTAAGTGTTGTCGAGATGAGGATGATTAGATGGATGAGTAGCTTTACACTTAGAGACAAAATGCGAATGAATATACCTGTGATAGGGTTGGTGTAGCTCCAGCGACGGACAAAAATAGAGAGAGTTCTCTTAAATGGTTTGGTCACATTAAACGTCGACCATCTGATGATCCGATCGATTAGAAGAGTAGATGTTTTAGATTCGATTTATGTTAAAAAAGATAGAGGTAGACCAAGGAGGACTTGGGCATATTGTATAAAAAATGATCTTAATTTATTAGAATTAAATGAAAATATGACACTAAATAGGATGCAATTGAGAAAAAGTTTTCTTGTAGCAGACCCCACTTAGTGGGATAAAGGTTTTGTTGTTGTTGTTGTTGTTGCTGCATTGAAAATCCTTTTCAAAAGCTTTTCTTTAAGAAACATTCCTTTTAAAAGGTTTCTTTCTCTGTTCCAATTGCTTTCCCCTTTCAACAAAATTTCCTTTTTTTTTTCAAAGACAACTTTTCTTTTCTTTTCTTTCTTGTACTGTCTTACGCTTAACTGCTTCTCTCCCTACCCAAACTTCACCGATCAATCTTGTTCCACATGATATTCCTGTCGGAGCGCACACCAAACCACGCCTATCGCCACCAGAACTTTCGTCAGAGCTACCGAAACCGTCGTAACCCCTGTAGTCTCCCTGTTGCTGCAATCTTTCCCATCGCAAGCCAAATCTTCGCGTCCAAGCTACTGGTCTGCAGCCGGTTTGCTACAAACCTCTGACTCTGCGACAAAGCACGTCGGACCACCTGCTACAAAAAAAAACAGGCAACACACACCAGATTTGCTGTTGTCGAGGCCAAACCAAGCTCCAATCACGAACCCGAATCTCTGATACCAATTGTTATGCAAAAAATAATATGAAAACGAATAAATTCACACAACAATAATTAAACACAAAAAATTTATGTGGTTTGGCGTTAAATTGATCCGCCTACGTCCATGGGGAGGGAGATTTCGCTAGTAGCACTAGATGGGGAGAAAGAAAAAATGTTCAGGGTCACAATTTCAACACTTCACAATAAATCTCTCGTGAACCCTAAGTCACATTTATAAAGGAGAATTAGGGAATACAAGTAAATAAAGTCAAAAGACCAAATTACCCCTAATTAAAAAGAAAGGCATAAATACAACAACAGACTCATTGAACCTCTTCATATCATTGAAAGAATAAAAAGAAAGGCATAAATACAACAATAGACTCATTGAACCTCTTCATATCATTGAAAGAATATATCTCTGAAGCACATTGCATTATACTTGTACATGTAAGTGATACTGTCATTTCTTCATTTTGAATCTTATGAGAAACCACCCACCACTCTTAGATAGGTTAGTTTTCCAAATTTTTTGCTATATTATTTCAACAAATTCAATATATGCCCTCTAAACTAACTTTTTTATAAATCATTGCAAGTGGATGCTGCTACAGCTCGTACCACAGTATATCGCTAAAGTTATAGTTGAATTAAACAGTTATATTCCTCTTGAATAGTATGTGTTGGTCGGTTCATCTTCTTGTAACTAGTGACAGAAAATAAATTTTGAAGACAATTATTCTTATTGCTCTTCTTTCAAGATATTTAGGCACAACTAATCTAATATTTCCAGGCTCATTTGGAACCGAGCAAACCAAACATCTAGGCACAAAGGGCAGCACAAATGCTCACATTCTACCTTATAATAATAGTTGTAGTTAGTCACCTAGTCCAATTTCCAAGGAAAAAAATTATGTAATATCAAAATTAAACCTTTTTTTCTTTTTTGAAGTGCTGTTCACACAGGGAAATTAGGTTCATCCAATATTAGAGCAAAGAAAAATAACTTCAAAAGGCAATCAAGTAAAAATAAAACTTACAAATGAGTTTTTTACAGATTTTATCAGCAAACATGCATAGTGGCATATTTGCATAATAAAAAAAAAGGTTAAGAACTAACCTGCGAAGACAGTTTTTTCTCTCGAAATATTAGAAACAATGTTACAGCTAACAAGCACAGCCCATGACCCCAATCACCAAACATGACAGCAAATAGAAATGGAAATGTAATGATCGAATATACACCAGGATTTGCTTCCTGGTACTTGGCAACCCTGAAATCAGGAAAGAACATCATTAGGCACTAAACAAAAACACTAAACAAAAAAAAAAAAAATAAAAAAAATAAAAAAATAAAAAAAAAATCAAATCTACATGTATGTCGAATATAAACTAAGTGGGAGTTTATTAACTTGGTAAGAAATTTCTTGTGTCAAAATCATAGGTTTGAATCCCACTTAAATCAAATTCGAGCCCGGATACTCACCATTCCTAATATATACATACACAAGGAATACGCTATCAAGTGTTTCAGGAAGCTTTAAATATAAATTGTCTTCCAAAAAAAGTTATCCACAAGCAAATATTTCCAGAATTTACATTAATAGAGGCGAAACATATCAACAATCCATTGGAAAACAAAACATAAAAAAAATTATTTCTTCTAGGCTTCTCATGAAATCATCTCACCCATAGGCATCAACAATTTCCTGAAAAGCTGAAGTGAATTTGTTCGTTTTGAAATACGTAGGTGGAGATTCTTTTGTGTGTAAAACTTGAAAAATTGATCCAACTTGGGATTTGCTATCAAAAGTTGCCCGCTGTAGCACATCTTGAATCTGCAAGATGGATTCTAAGTTGAGTGGTTCCAAGTTATGACTGTAAATCTAGAAAAAGAATCTTAGTTCACAATGTCATGAAATATAAATATGAATGTTGTATACCTGACTTGCAGCAAAAACAGGGCTCCATCCCTCAGCAACTAAACATTTTTTTGTAACATCGAGGCTTAGCATGTTCAAAGTGTGATAGACAGACTTCTCCTTCCTTACCTGGAAATATTCTTAAACTGAGTGAGTTTATGGGCCTATAGAATAATAAGCCAATGACAAGTTTTTACTAATAAACCAATATATATACATATATATATAGAGAGAGAGAGAGAGAGAGAGAGAGAGAGAGAGAGAGAGAGAGAGACATGACACCATAGTTACAGATTCCACACTCACCAAATGGTACCACTGATCAAACTGGTAACTGATGTTCTTCAGCAAGTTATCTCTATGAAGCAATCCGATATCTATAGTTGTTTTCAACTCTTGGATTTTAAAAGAGACCTGAAAATGCAAATAATTGAGGAAAAATTTTCATAAAGAAATAAAATAAAGGAATTTCTCATCCATATATATATATATATATATATATAGTAGGGAGAAGGTGATTAAGAAACAAACATTTAAATACGTTTGAAGAATTTCTAAATCACATAAAACACAGAGGAACAACCAAATGGAAACTCAAAATCATAGGCACAAATTATATGACAATCAAACCATTGCTTCAAAAAACTCACTTGAAAGCTCATTTCTACATAGTTGGAAATGAATATCTCCCAAAACTCTTTGATACCATCGAGCTTAAGGTGCTAGTACATTTTTCTCCACATTTAATTTTAAATTCGAAGCTTGGATCTATCTGTTTCCACATAAATGTATACGAAAGCACTCCACAGCTAATGTGTTATCGTTAACTTACTCTAAAGTAATGTTTCACGCTTTGATTTGAATTAGCTAAAGTTTGCCTTCATGTAAGCCAACGTATAAAGAACTACCAACTAGATGCCAAAAATTTTACAAATTTTATCAGCCAAGAACAGTAATAGAGTCACATTTATTTATGACATAGATTCTCTATTTATAAGCATAAGTCACAATGTTACAAAAGTACATATTCCCTCATCATTAACTTTTCAGATGGGCTTTTCAGTAAATTACTAAGTTATTCTAATAAGATCGGAGAACTAATTTGATCGATAAGAGTTCTTCGATCGTCCGGTAAGGCTCAGCCTAATTTATATTTAATATGAAAGGATGTTTCCTGTCGATCTTCCTGAAGGTTGATCACTACTCTGCAAGAAATTTCCTAGCACGTTTCGCCCATCGCCCAAACAAGACGCTCCTCTAGCCGTCGTCCAGCCTGAAATAGTCGTAAATCAACAACGTTCAACCAATTGTTTCTTCCTTCTGAACCCCTCATTGGTCTTGAGATTCGTGCCGACATATTTTATGTGTACATATTTAGTTTTCTGATTCTCTTGCTCCTTAAAAGTTGCAGAGCACAAGAGGATAAGAAAATTATTATTAACATGTATAAATTAAATAACATTATTGCGTAGCAATGGACTTCCCTGGATTTTCGTGCCCGGACTATTATAAATATGACTTGGAGTAAGGAAGGACTGCGTTGTTTCCTTTTATTCTCGTTTCTTTGGCCTTTTGTCTTCTACTCCGTGTCTGCCATGATGTCTGGTGAGGGAGCGCCATCAGCCAACAAGAGCGGCCTCCTCAAAGCCATGAGTGATACGCGAGTCGGGGCTCGCAAACCGGTTGTGAAGCGGAAATCAACAAACAAAATTTCTGCGGGAGAGTTAAGTGAGAAGAAGATTGTGCAGAAGTTGTGAGCGAGGGAACATGGGTCTTTGAACTTTCTCACAAGCTCATCTCAAGAGAGAGCTGTGGAGAAGTTTGGAGAGCGTCCCGATGATTGTCTTTTGCGTTCTTCGGAAGCGGTTACTTCTACCCAAGGCGAGGAATGTTCGTTCAGCCTGTTATGTCGACTATGACTCCCCAGGGACCCGGGAAGGCACCTACTGAAGCTAGGATGTAGCTTCAGTAGAGAAGGGATGGCCTTTCCTCTGAGAGTGGAGAACTAGAGAAGACCGGTGAGGACCATGTCTCTTACACCACCTCTGATTGGTGTCAAATTTTGGGTACGTAGCTTGATTCAAGCCTTTAAGTATTTATTTTGCAGCCGTCGGAGCTCTGGCGATCGCTTCCATCTCATCAAACACTGACACCTTCCCTGACGGCGATGCAGCCACCATTGATCGAGCCACGAGGGCGAGTGGATGTTGTGGGTAGGCTGTTGCGAAACAGGGAACCGACACAGTGGAGTAAAACGTTGTGGCCAAAAGGATGGGGGATAATCTCCCCCCCCGCCCCCCCATCGGCTAAAGCAAATGTGTGGGCTACTAAGTTTCTTCAGTCACGGCGACAGAGGAGGCATCTGGAGGGCGTCGGTTGTTTGCTAATTTTCTAGTGCGCTGCCTTGCTGAAATGGAGGAGTGATTTTTTTTGTCACTTGGTGCAACTTCGAGGGGATAGTGATGAGGGAGTTGTCAAGGAGAGAGTCAACCGAGTGGAACAAGAAGTTGTACTTCGTAGAGAGCTCGTTGTTTTTCGAGGAGGGAAGTTGGTTGATCGTGGGGAAATGACACGTATGTGTCAGGAGCTGTCGGCCGTTGAGAGGGTCTCACCACCCAACAGAGGGATAATCTGGATGACCTCTTTAAGTTGAGTGGTGAATTTATGTATGAGCAACTGTGTCACCGATGAATTATTTTGAAAGAAGCCACAAACGACCGCCTAATTTTTTCCATTCTTAGTTGAATCTGAGGGACTGGTATGATGTCGCCCCTTTTTTGTAATTATATAAATAAATGAAATGCAGTTTTCTATTTCTGCTAATGATTGTTTTTCCTGGAGTATCAGCGGTTCTTGTCACACTAGTCTTGTCGACGACATTTTGTTTTCCCGTGCAGGTGTATATTTATAGATGCACGTGTGGTTAGGGTATCGCAAGCTTCTTCCTCCTCTTGTGAGTCATTATCTCCCTTCATCCTCCTTCCCTTTCTCTTCGCGTGAGTCGTTACGGGTTACATGGCGCAAAAAGTTTCCCAAGAATTATTTGGATTGATCTCAGTTCTTACCGCAGCGAATGTAGAAGAGATTCAGAGCCTCTACGTTTTTGACCCTTCTATCAGACCTTGGCCGACAACCAACCATGAGGAAGCGACATGTCACTTTTCCCCCAACTTGATTTTATTACAAAGACCGATTCAAAATGGGTCTTCTATTGTCATTTTGTAAGGAGCTACGATCGATTTTCAGATGGAATGGATTTGTTCTTGCTTAGATTCTTCGCACCTCTATGGCTTTCATAACCACCTTTGTCCTCTTTTGTTGAAGGATGAAAATCCTTTGGTTGATTGAATTGTTCAACCATTTAATCTCTTTTTGAATCGGTAGGGACAGCTATGTTCATTTCGCCGCCGGTTCCAAGATCCATCTAGTGGGTCTTGAAAATAAGATTAAAGAATGGAAAGCAAAGTTCTTGACAGGTTCCTGCACGAGTGGTTGGGGGATCTGCACCGCTCTAGTAGAAAGTGAGGTAAAGAAAGTGAAGACACTTTCTGGCAATCTCAAGCGCTGATTGAGGGTCAACGCCTCTCGTTGTTTCAATACCTCGATCCGAACATGATAGGGTGGGTGATTTGGCTCAACGGTAGCAAGACCGTGACCGAAGGGTTGGGGCATCATCTGACACTCGGGAAGTGGCTAGAGAGAGAGAGCCGCCACAAGAAGAGGACGGCTTCAAAGAAGCAACGAGGGAAAAGTGATCATTCCTTGCTTGGGAAAGGTGAGGTCTGCCCACCTTGGTTTGACCGAAGAAGGTGTTGAAGGTGAAAAGGCTTTCCTCGTTTTAATTGTTTTTATATATGAACGTGTAGTTACTTAACCGTGTTATTTAAATGGAGTGGCGAGGACGTCTTCGAGATCTCCGGTACACCGAATCATGAGGTTTCGCCAGTCCTCCCATTGACCGACAAGGCTTCTACGGTGACTCCCGACATGACCTCGTTTGTGGTTATGCACGATCGAGCGAAGCCAAGCAACTCCTCCCATCCCATCTTGATAGGGACTGGGTCGGAGGGAGAAACAAGGGACACTATGGGTGTGGAGAAGGATACTCTCCAAAGGAAAGGGATGGCTCCCGTTTCTAGGACCGAGTTACCCCAGAGGAGGGATTCCGCCCGAGTGGTCCTTTTCTCATGACCAAGGGGCTGGAGTTTGGACGAGCGGTCACTAAGCTCTTCTTGGTAGGTCTGCTAAGTGGTATCCTTCCACCCTTTTGAATGGGGACTGCCCATAGACTTAGATGGAGACTATTTGGTCACCTGCTTTCGCGGAGTACCTGAGAAAAATGGACAAGCGAGATATGTGTCAGGCAATCAATCGCTATCATGTTCTTGCATGGGAGGCTTCGAATTTTCTAGGGATTCTTTTGGACTAAGCTGAAGGGAAAACTAAGAGGGATGCCTTACGGATAGAAGCATTAAATGAAGAGCCACTATGGCCGAGAAATGGTTGAAACTGTCTGTGGAGCAGAGGTAGTTGGAGGCTCAAAACATAAGACCCTTCTTAAGGAGCACGAAGAGTTGAAAAAGATAGTTTCCTCTATTATCACTCGAAAGGAGCATGTTGAGGGACTCTCCTGAGAGATTGTGATTGGATCATCTCTTGCTATAGAGAGGTTTGTGAAACATGGACTAGTCGATCCCAAATGGCCGGACATGGAGAAGTTTGGCACGTTGTTTTCAGATTTAGAAGATGGAGAACAGGAATCATTGAATGGAAAATCGTGCGACCCGGGTGAGCTGAAGAAATCGAGGAAGATAGTGTTGGGTAATCTTCGAACGTAAAGAGCTGAAGGGCGATAAGCTTCACGTTTTTTTTATTTGTTTTGATGTTTACACGTGCTTGTAAGAAATTTTTGTAATTTTGTTTCTGTAAAAGTAGTTTATAGTGTAGTGGATTTTTTGAAACTGGAGGATTTAGTACTTCGAGTTTTCTTTCTTATATTAAACGACTGTTCTAGTTTAGAAGCAATTTTCTTCTCACCGTTATTTGTTGGCAAGTGCGTGAGTATGCCTCCACGCACATTAGAGATGCTCTGACTTATTTCTTATAGGCAACTTCCACACACCTCTTGCGAAGTTAGTCGCTATCAGGTGCAACCTCTATAGTTCGGGCGCATAACGATAGTTCACGTACCCCTCGCGGAACTTGACGTTGTCGGGTTTCGATACGTCCCATATGTCTCTAACGATTGTTATACACCCCTCGCGGAGCTTGTTGTTGTCGGATGCTAACTATACCGTGGGCGCAGAATGATTGTGTGCACCCCTCGCGGAGCTTGTCGTTATCGGGTGTCGATACGTCCCATAGGCCTCTAGAGATCGCTTAACACCCCTTGCGGAGCTTGTCGATGTCGGGTG